TGAGGCAATTGGTGCTAATCTCAACTTGTGTTGTGACAGACAGGTTCTTTTCAAGTTACATTGAGTCTTTTTTTTCTCTAGTCCAGTGGCTCCTAATCCTGGCTGGGCATTGGTGTCCTCTAGAAGCTTCCAACATATCAACACTCAAGTTTTACTCCAGCTTAATCAGAATCTTTGGTGACAATTGAGCAACAATTTTTTTTTAGAGGTCTCAAGAATCCTCAGTCATTGAATGCTATATGACAAGTTCCTGATCAGTTTAATGACTTCAAACAAGAAACACGCTGTCTCAGTTTCTGTAGGTAGAGGAGTGGTGTAGCTATATAGTCCATGCTCAAGATGTCTAGGGAGATTACAGATAAGATGTCAGTTGAAGGCTGAAAGATCTTCCAAGATGGTTGCTTTGTGTGGTTGTTGGAGTGCAAACCACATGAATCTCTTCATAGGTTTGCTTGAGTATCCTTGCAATATGGCAGCCAACTCTCTGGAGAGAGAGAGAGAGAGAGAGAGAGAGAGAGAGAGAGAGAGAGAGAGAGAGAAACAGAAACTATGCCAGCTTTGACAACTAGTCATAGAAGTCCTGCTCCATCATGTCCATTGATCATCCTGACTACACAGAATAGTCACTGTCAATGTGAGAGTTGGCACAAAGTCTTAGATGTAGCAGACTGAGCTCTTTGGGGCCATTCTTGAAGATGGCCACCATACCAAAAGTCTCTAAAAAGGCCCAAAGACTGTGAATACATCAATGTTGCTAATCCATCTGGGGATGATCCCCTTAAGAAGTGTGAACCTTTCTAGGCTATTCTCCTTAAAAATGTTTACATTTGTTTATGTGTGTGTGTATGTGTGTGCATGTGTGTACACTTATTCATGTATGGATGTCAAAGAGTAACTTGCAGGAGTTGGTTCTCTTCCTCCATGGTGTGGGTCCCAGGGATCCAACTCAGATCACGAGGCTAGCACCTTTACACACTGAACTTTAAGCTCCTGAGTATTTTAGGTGCTGATGGCAAAGAGTGGAATGGGGAAGAATGGAGGCTTTCAGAGTCCTGAGTACGCATGCGTCGGCACGGACAAAGCACCTGCAGACCTCTTTCTCATTTGACTCCGGAGCAGGCAAGATTTGCTAGTATTTATTCTCCTCACACAACGGTCAGAATGGCTTGGGCCTTTCTAACTATAATGAGTACTCGTCTACATTATTCTTTGTTCTGCTAATAGATTACTCCCATGGGATTCATTCTGTGACAGAAAAATAGCTAGTCAAGTCTTTTTTTTAACCCCCTGGATAGAGCTGCCCGTAGGTGGTTATTTTTGTGCATGTGTGGTTTTGTCATCGTTTTTTTTTCTATTTCTTATTATCTTATTTTCAGCACATGCATCTAATCCCACTGCTGTTTGAAACTAAGTCATGTACTCCCAATCCTCATGGGATAAAGTTTTAAATCTTCCTTCAGGTCAATGCGCTCAGTACGGATGTCTCTTCTTTTGTCTTCGGCCCCTGTCTTATACCACTGCATCTCCATTTTCAGTGCACCCTGGTCGTATCCACTTAATTCCAGCTCCTAAAGCATCTATCTATCTATCTATCCCTTCCAAAGGACCTCTGCACAAGCTTTGACTCAGATAGTGTATATTTACCCTTCAAATACCAGCTTAAAAAATTATACAAAGTAGTATGTCCTGGTTTCCCACTGTAAAAGTATCTCCCATGGGGCTCTGTTTTTTATTTTTTCCTCACAGCATTTATTACAAAGTGTAATCATGAGCTTTATTGTGTGATATTTACTTTCAGTAGACTGGAAGCTCTCTAAGGGCCAGCATACATTGTATGCTATGCTTTTTGCCTACACCTGGAAGCAAACAGGATTTGGTACACAGTTGGATGCTCACAAGGTGTTTGTCATACAAACGTTTGTAAAGAGAAAACCAAAGCCCAGAAACATTACGGATGTACTCAAGGTCATCCATACACATAGCAGGACTCCTCCCCGGACTCTGATGACAAATATATTGCATTCAGAATCCGCGTTCTACGATGTGCATGGAGGTGCAGGCCTGCAGCTAGGAGATGGAGGCAAGAGGATCAGGACTTCAAGGCCATCCTTAGCTACGCATAAAGTTTAGAGTCAGCATGGGCTACATGCGATCCTATCTCAAAAAGTGAGGGAGGATTGGAGTAGGAGGAGGATCTGAGTTCAAGTCTCATCATTCACGTGGCAGCTCACAACCATCTATAACTCAAGTTTCTGGGGATGCACCCTCTTCTGGCCTCTGGCACCAGGCTCACCTGTGGTGCACAAACATAAATTCAGGCAAAAGAGTCATACACATAAATAATGACAATGATAATAGTAGAACCCCCTTGCCTAGTCTCCATCCTGCCCTTCGAAACCCAGCATGTGAAAGTCTGTGCCCAACTTCTCTAGAGCTGGCTGCAAGGTTTCTGGACCAATCAAGTTAAAAATCAGTCAAGATTTTTGTTTATTTGTTTGTTTGTTTGTTTGTTTGTTTTTGTGGAACTCAAGTCCCTCCAGGAGAAAGCAATGATTGGAGCTTGCCTTTTGACAGGAGTGTTCTTTCCGGGTAACTATGCATTTTGCCACCTCAGGCCTTCTTACCCGAAGTATCTGTGCCTCTCACACCTGTACTGTGAGTTCCCAGCTGGCCTTTGAGAACACTGCCAGGCAGCCTGTCCACAGAGGTGATGAGGACCACTATAATTATTTAATAAGCCCCCAAACCATTTGTTTGTTTTGTGATCTGAGTTCCTGCTGCTTCGGGGATGGGAGTGTCAGGAAGAAATAAAAACAGTTCAATGGCAGCCTCTACATACCTTCCCTGCCCCAGGCCCTGGGCCAAGAGCTCCAGACAGATGAAGGTGGCAGGCTACAGGATGAAGACTGAGCCTTTGGCCTTGACTAGTTCCCAAAGCCCCACACATATGAAATCCTAAACCTCAGCCTTTTAATTACAGGCTATGTGACTTGGGAAAGCTGTTTAATCTCAAAGACTCACATTATTCTTATTTATAATATTGAATTTTATAATAATTTTCTTCTGGGTATACTGTAAAAAATAAATGAAGCCATGCACATAAATTATCTAATGCTTAATGCATGCTCAATAAATGAACATTTCCTTTCCATAGTCCTCATTTGGAGGAAACTCTCAAATGTAATCGAGATTCAAAGTGTATATTTGTAAAGAAGAAAGGAGAGAAGAAAATAAAGAAAGTGAATTGGAGCACACACAGTACCATTTTCTCTTCCTTGGTCTGTAAAAGAGGGTGCTAATTGCAGCCCAGGATAGTCAGCTCCAGGATAAGATTCACACTTCCTAAATCTTTCTTGGGTTCTCCTGTGTGCAGATCTCATCAAGGAGGCAGGGCTGAGATCTGGTATGCCATGAACCAGTTACTCCCTTGTTAGGGGGTACTTCTGGGGGCCTGTGGTCCCTAAAAGCTGTCCCCAAGCTCCCCACTGAACTCCTGCTCTTCACATTTATAACCCTCTGCTTTCTCCCCTTCCTGGCTTCCCAGACAGTGGTGCAGACAAAAAGGCCATTTATAACAGCCTTTCTGACAGCTGGACATTATTTAATTACAACTTCTGGCAGCCACATAGTGTGCTGGAGGCTATTTCAAGTTCTAGATGGCAGGAGGAGAAATGAGGAAACTTATACCCAGAGGGGTTGGGGCAGAGAGGAAAGCCAGGGTGGTTACCAGCAGGATGGATTCTGGCCCCCAGCACTAACATAGTGATTCTGCATCCTAACCTTTAATACTGGACTCCCTAGGGAAGAAGAAAGACATTATGTCAGCAACCTAAGGCATCTTCTGGGGGCAGGGCCTAGGGGATTTGAGTCTAGAACCATCAACAACAAAATAAATAAGATTATTGTTTATATAGATGAGCTTCCCGGATTAAAAAGACAAACAAAAAACTGACCCACAGAGAGGAGAAAAGACTTGTTCTAAGCCATGTAGTACCTAAGAAGATGCTGAGGAAGACACTTAACTACCTAAGAACAAGCACTACTAAGCCTACCTTGTTCCCCCACAGGACAATTTCTCACACCCTGGCAAGGTCATTTTAGATGCCACATCTGCTACTCACATAGCTCTGGGTGTAGCAGGAGGAATGGGATCTTGACTGACAACATTCAGCTATCTGGTCGACCCGGAGAGAGCGTCATTAGCTTCTATTTAGCTACTGCTGCCACACTTTGCTGAACTTTGGGTGGCTGCAGCCAGTGTAGGAAGAAAGGACTCACTCACAAAGGAACAAAGGCTAAGGAGAGTAAGTCTACCCCAGGGAGCTGTGACTTAGAGAGGGAGAGAGATCTCCATGTGACTACAAAGAATTCTAACAATTATCCTAATCAGAGCTCCATGAATGAAAAGCTGTTTTCCCCTGCATTGTTATTACCATTAGCCTGGCACCTTTCTGACATCTCTATGAAATATGTATTATTTACGTGATTTTACAGGTGACTAATGGAAGCTTAGGGGAATGAACTATACCCTAAGTTCTCCAACTACAACAGGAATGCTATTTATACATACACAATTCTGTTTGATTTCAGAGTGGATAATTTTTTCCACCATGGCAATATTTCTGGTCTTATTTGTACATCAGATATCTTTAGGGAATATCTGAAACATACTAACAAGACCGAGGTCTTACCTTAGACCAATTGAGTCAAATTTTCTAGAAAGGTGGTTATAGAATCACCATTTTTACATTTCTATTATGGAGCCACAGCTGAGGCCCCAGGAAGAAAGATTTATACTGGTGAACACCCTTTCTGGCCTATTCCCACCCCTTTCCATTGCTACCATCATTGTCCAGGATGCCCATGGCATAGCTAAGTACCCCTCTAGTGTCTTCTGTTGCTTCCAGTTTACCTGGTACTCTCATGATGGCTCTTCTGACACTGCCTCCTCACTGGTGGTCTTGATACCTACCCCTGGGACAGGTTCCTAAGATCATCCACCAGGCATATTGATGGTGTGCAGTCTGCTAATCTCAGAGGCTCTTAGCAGTAGTTGTATGCAGACTCTGGAATGGAGCTTAGCATCTAGGGAGTTGATTAGAGCTCGCTGTGGAGATCAGCACCTGAAAAAGGAAGAGGTGTACTTGTGTGAGTGCTTCATGCTAATGGGAATTTGAGTGATGTGCGGTAGTTCCCACTCTCTCTCTTAGCAGATGTCTGTGTTTGTGTTGGAGCCTAGAAAAGACCATCCTTTTCGGGAATTGCAATGGCTATTCCAACAGCACCGAGTACCTAGGACAGGGCCCTACAATATAATTGACACCTTCTTGCTCCTCAGAGCCTCATTAAGTGACTCTGGGTGGCCCAACTGAAAATAAATTGGGGGACATGGAAAATTAGCACTTCTAGTTGGCTTTCTACAGAGTCTTTGCCCCTGGGTCAGCACGTCCATTCTCTTTTTCAGTGGAGCTTCACCACACTCCACCCCAAACCTCTTACTTTACCAGAACTCTAGGGTCTATCACCAGTTCAATCTTTCTCCACCTTAGGAACAAGACAGAGGTTTTCTACCATTGAGAAGGTCATGGGAAAATGAGAAAGGAGAGGATCACAATAGAACATGACAAGTTGCTAAGGTGTCAATGAAATGGCATGCATGCAGAAGCAGCTGCCCACAGAAGGAAGCACTTGCCTCTAGCTGGAAGCAGGTTGGAAGGAAATTTCCCATGTAACAGGAGCTTAAGAAAGATGTTGGAACACTGGAGCAGGATTCTTGAAGAATGGGGAGAAATTGGCCCACAGATAGGGATGCAAAAGCATTCCATGTAGAGACCTGTGCAAAATCCAGAGCTCCAACCCTGCAGGATGTTAGCAAGCAGCATCCTGCCTGGAACATCTCTCAGGTCATAGGGTAAAGGTTAAGGGGCCCAGGGGAGAAGACTGAAGAGGTAGGCAAAGGCAAACAATGGTGGTCTCTGTAATGAGGCAAGGAGCTTGGACTTGCCCTGAAGACAATGGCTCCCCACTGAAGATCTCTCCGCATGGGCTGTCACATATTTTTAATGTATGACATAATAAAAAGGATTCTCTGTCCTGCTCTTTCTTAATCCATCTTCCTTTCCTTTGCCCTACTGGAAATTCATAGAAACAAACCTCTCTTTTGTCCTGGGCTGCTCTCATGCCTTTGTTTCCTCAGTTAGATAAAAAAGCATAAAACCCACCGTGCCACCCTACTTCTCCCCGGATGCTGCACAGTGGTGACTGCTGGGATTTCTTCCCTGAGCCATCAGATTTACAGTTCCAGCCACAGAAACTGCTGCACCAGGTGGGAGCTGAGATATCTCCTCCTGATTTCTCTTCCTGCTCTAGGGCGGGATGCCCTGATGTCTGCAGAGAGGAGCTAACTTCACGAGTACACCCAGATCTTCGAGGCTGTGGTTGGGATTTGCTAGCTTCTCTTTTCCATGTGACATGTCATCACATACTATTCCTAGAGAAAATATTCCAGAAGAAAAGCCCTGAACAAAAGGTGCTATGGAAGATTTCCTTCCAAACCCTTCCTGCTCAGGTTCCTTCATATCTACCCCTCCAACACATAGACCCTGCCTGTCATCAAATCCACTGCTCTCTATGAAAAGCCCCTCTGCTTTTGATTACAACTTTTCAGGCCATCAAAATACACTAATCTCCTATGTTCCCTCTCTCCATTATACTTAAATTGGTGCTTTACAAGGAATCGTAGAACATGGCACTCTTCCAAGGCCTACTAGGTAATGTCCCAACTCTGCCATTTCCTCTGACCTTGGGCAAACACCTTCATTTCCTCCTGTGCAGCTCAAGTTCACTTTGAATTTGCTTTTACATCCCATTAGTCAGGATATTGGAGGATTCTAATTCACCCAGCAGCAACTAGGGAGAACTCCTTCTGGTTCAAGAATGTGGATTACATCTATCTCTTGCCCACTGCCATTTCATGTTGGTAACTTCAAGTCAGCCATGGTGGGAATCTTTACACCAGGAAAATGGAAGAATGCCGGAAGCCCAGACTTTTCTCAGGAGATGTGGAACAGATTTCCTAATCCCTGACTCACCCCAAGAAGTCCTTCCTCCGATGCCCAGTCAAAGATGAATATCTGCATTCACACAAAGACATCTGAAAGCAAACAATGCCTTAACCAGGAACAAGGGATTTCAGGTTCAGCAGTAGTTGGTTGGTGGAGGTCCTACTTCATCAATGGTGGCACCCCCTATGACTGTTCATTCATTTCCCAGCCCTTATTTGGAGTTCATGTTATTCTCTCTGCCTGGAATGTTGTATATCATTCATTCAATTCGACTACATTTGACCAGCATATAAAGCCTCCATTCTTAGTTATTCTTAGTCAAGTCTCAGTGTTTCCTCATCAGATTTTTTAGAATAATAGCTTTCACACCTTTCCCTCTCTGCCTGGACAGCAGGACCAGAAAAGCACACACTCTAGCTTCCTCAATGCCTCCACTATTTGGGCTAATGAAGTACTACACTGTCAGGGGCCGTTCTGTAGACAGGAGAACAGTGGAAACCCAGTGTTGGACCTAAGTGCAGAAGGCACATGCTTTCTCCTTCTTAGAAGCCATTTTTTTTATGGAAATGCAGTACAAGGTTGTAAAGTGACTTTCCATGATGAAAAACGGCCTGTGAGGGAAAGGAAGCCTCCCCGCTCTCTGCCCCTTATTGTTTCATCACTCCTAATCCAAGGCAAGCAGGGCTATTACCTGTGTGTGTGTGCAGCTCTACTGAAATAATGCCACCAGACGCAAGCACCCAGGTCTGTGAATAGACCTTTTTACTTCTCTCAAATGGAAGCGTGCTCTTCGGTGTTTCCTTCCTTTCTACAATATGCCACAAGGATCGTTCCATCAACATAACGAGACCAGCCTCATTCTTTATCAAGGCTGCATGGTAGTTCATCATAGCGATGGACCATATTTTATGTAACCAGGCTGATGGAAATCTAAGTTGCTTCCTGTCCTGGATATAGCTGCAGTTAGTGTCTTGGCACATACATCTTTGCCCAGGTAGACAAGTATATCTGTGGGAAAAAAAAGTTTTTAAAAATGAATTGCTCAAGGAGTAGGTGTGATTTTAATGCTGATAGATACTGCTGCATGTTTCCTCTGAAAGCTGCAGGGCGGAGGGGGGCTGAATATCCTCATCTCTCCAGCAGTCTTTAGCTGTGTCTTTGTTCCTACCCTTTGCTCCCCTCTCTGCCCTTCCTGGCCTTAGAAGCCTCTATCATGAGTCAAACAGTCTTTCTACCAAACATTCAAAAGGGACAAAGAAGACAAGATTTTGCTGCACATATTGGGTGCGACAGATTACTCTTCTCTTGGATGAGCAAGTAGCCCAGCCTCCACAATGTCCACAGCTGGACACTGCCCCATTGTCCTTGTCATGGTTACATGTAGGTGAGAACACACATGCACAGACAAACAGACACACAGATTCACAGACACACACCTGCAGTGGGGCCTGTTGCTTTTGATTGTCAGGTGGCTCTAGGAACAAATTAAGGATAACCCCAGCTATAGTACCATATCAGAGTGCATAGCTGAATTTCCTAGTGCACCCCAGCCTACCTGGTCTCCCCTCTTCCTAGTGATCAGACTACAGAAGAGACAACAAACAGATGTGAAGTTTTCACTCCCAGTGCCCCTGTCAACTACTAAAACATGGTCTAATGGATGCCTAGGGTCTTGTGACAACCATGCTGTCTTCTGAGCAAATTATGAAGGAAGATACAGAGGAGCAGAGATGTTTCAGTATGGGTTAAATGCTCCTCTGTCAGCAGCACGGAGAAGGGACTGGAAAATATGTCCTTAGGATCACATGATCCTGCTTTTGCCAGTCCATTGCCATTGTAAACCCAGCATCTAACGTGACAGAGGCCACTGGGGTCTTAACACATTTCAGGGGGATGACATGACTTTCTTCTTGGCTGAAAGGTATTAGGGCACAGAAGGAATGAATTCTGTATGTGACCGGGGAAATCTTGCTCCAGGAGAGAAAGTTACCAAGAAAGAGACACTCAATCAATCAAAGAAACACATTCAACCAACATGTCACTTCAAGTAAGAAATAATGTTCTTCAAGAAGTAGTGATCCTCTCGTCAGTGAAAGTGTTCAGCTATGGAAAGGAATGTTCCAGCAGGACATCAATGCTTAGGAGATCAGACTACAGGAATTTTAGTATTTCACCACCTCTGAGAAGTAAAGATTTTATGAGGTGTCCCTTCTTATGAACAAAAATAAAAGTGTTGGAGTCCACCCAACACCCAACCAATTCCTTTAGCACTGCGTGAGTTCAGGGATTGTCTGTGGCCAACAGCAGAACGTGGCCCCATTGCATAGCCAGCCGCCTTCCACCTAAGGAGTATTCTCTAAATTGGACTGGAATTTGGTTTTCTTTTTTCTTCCCTTTGGCAAAGCAGAATGAATCTGTGTTGAGCCATTAAGTTGTCTGCTCGATTTCAAAACTCACTTGCTGTCAATCATAGGCAGGGAGGCAGCTGGGGTGTATTGGTTAGAGCCCAAGTAAACATTTCATTTCCAACCTCAGCAGAGGTGGAACTACGTGCCGTTCAGAGATGAGCAGGCTGTGGGGCTTCCTATTGGCAGTGCTGACTGTATAGAGGAACTGGGGAACCTGTCACTCACTGGGATCATCAATCTTGAATCTGGAAATCTGTAAACCCGGGTCCCCTAGAGTCAGAATTTGACAAATGGCAGAATAAACTCAGCATGCGCAGATGAGTGAGAGGGGCCCCCAGCTATTAAAAAGCCATTCCCATCTCACTGCAACTGTTCGACAGGCCTTCCTCAGCTGCCTGTGTGGGCACAGTGCAGGCAGGGCACACAGGAGGACCTGGGCACCTGCAGTTGTCAGCAGCTCGCCTGGACCTGATGACTTCCCAACCCCCCACTGAGTCAGGGCCTGGCCTCCAGGAGCCACAAGACCTTCAGCCTGAAAACCAAATAATCAAACAGGAAAGGAGATGGCCCGGGGGAGAGGGTGGGGGAAGACTGGTGATGTCAGGAGCTAGTCGGTCACCAGCAAGGACCCCAGAGTGCAGATGCAAAAGA